GGAGGAGAAGGTTTTGTCCGAAGGAAGAATATCTGAACCCGGAGCAGGTCTCAACTCCGTCAGCCGCCACTACCACCACCACCACCACCACCACTTCTGGTCCACGCGATAAGGCCAAACGAACCCTGCGCGCGAGCGAGAGAGGATAAAAAGGCGGAGTACCTCAGCATTTTCAGAGACACGCACGACCACCGTTTGAGCGAGTGAGTGAGTTCACAATTTCAGAAACACTCTCTCACGCACAGTTTTCACACGCGAGGAACGAGAGCGAACACAAGTGTACTTTTTCCTTCTCACGTGTCTTGATAATAGTTGATGTCCTTTTTCGTGAAGACCCGGTGTATTTCTTTTCAAGCAACAATAACAATATGTTTGGACACTCAGTGCGTGACGTTTTATTGACTTGATTCGTCTGTTACAAGCGGACGTCAGTAAAAATACATTCCGTGTAATATTATTCAAATTCACAGTGAACAACTCCACTTAAGATTTACGACGTATGCAATACTAAAGTTTTTGTTATAATTATCAACGGCTCATTACATTGTCTAAGAAGGTGTTCAACTTATAAAGGAAGTGTATTGTGAATATTCTCCAGCTGCATATTCTTCCCAATCTCTTCAGAGTCCGGGTATTTTAGCACAGACATCTCGCCCATGAGTGTCATGATAATGGTAAGAAGCCTGCATGTCTCCGTCAATTTTTGTTTGAGATTTCATTTTTGTTTGCTCTGTTTTGTTGAGTGACATCAAATGTTTTACCAAACATGAAGCTAGAGGTGCTCTGATGTGGTTTACATCCTACTCTTTCTTTCCTATCAAACATCTGTCGCTCTTTCTCTCTCCTCCTTCTATTTTGTGTGCTTGTTACACCTCTAATCTTCGGCATTTATATGACTTAATTGTTTTGTAAATGCCGTAAAACGGTTACTAAAACACCCCCACCCTCTTAGTTTGCTGTTTTGTTATATCAAACGCCCTACCAGACGAGAGACTGTTTTAGAGCAGCGCCTCTGAGAGGTCCTACTTCTTTGACGTTTCTTCTATTTTGCTTTATCTTACACTGAATGGCTGTTATAAAGCTTCTCTCTGTACTCAAATTTACTGGCTGGGGGGCTAGAACTCAGTTGGCCGCTGGATAGGAAAAGTAAAGAAAAGTACTCAACTCAAAGCTTTTGGACTGAAGAAAGACGGTACATTATTCCATTTCGAACATCTTATCTGCTCGCAGGGCTCCTGGTCTAAAGAGGAAAATCCTTCAGTAGCATTAAGATTTTGTCATCCTTCTGTGATTTGAACCTCAACCACCTGCCGTTTGATCGTCCTTTTAGGAGAGACGGTAATGTTTAAAGGAAAAGCCATGAAGTGCTTGTAATCAAATAAGTTATCAAATAAGAAGCATGGCTACACAGAAGACGGTGGTTAGATCTAGAGGGTACCACCAGGCAGATCTTATTTCTTTCCATTTCCTTCTTTATTCAGGTCTGCCGATCTTGTTTTACCGGTTTCCTTGGTGTTGCGGTTAGGCGCTTCACTGTCACACGCAGGAGACCCGAGTTCTGTTTCTGGGCGGGGAGAACATTGATAAAATCGAGTATCTCGGCCCTTCTGTAGGGAAGTAACCTTTTCAGGTTGTCCCTGACAGATAGGGTCGAAAGCCTGCCTCCAAAGTGATCTAAATTGTAAAAATACTTACATTTCTTTTTTCATCTTGTTTTCCATGCACTGAATGACTGCCGTTGTTTGCGCCAGTGTGCTTCTCTTTTCCCCAAAAAATGTAGAAAATAATTTTTTTTTTAATTTAAGTAAACCTAAAATTATATCTCAACACAAGGAAGAAATAAATGCCAGGGGCCGCTCCTCTGCCGGAATGTTTTGTAACAGCCTTTTGCATGTTTTTTCTTCGCTATCAGCTTCAATCAAGGGTCGCTTATATTTTCCCTACGTTAGGATTACAAAGTTCTAACTGACATTGTTGGCCGCCTTGAGAACCTAAGACCGTGATGTCAGAAACCAAATGTTCTCTCTGCTTTATCAAAATCGTAATATTATTCGGAGTCCCTATCGAGAGATTCAAAGAACTGCATTCGAAAAAAACGGGACGTGTTGTGAAGCTCAAAATTTTTTACGGCAAATTTCTCAAAACTATGTGTCGAACACATAGAACTTTGTAATATTCCAAGGACATGATTGGCGTCTTTCTTCTCGTGAGTATTAGGAATTGTTGGGGGCGCATGTCTGTCTGTCTATCTGTCTGTCTGTCTGTCTGTCTGTCTGTCTGTCGTTGTTTTTTCCTTGCAATAAGTGTCAAACTATCATCTATGGTGCAGCAAGTAGGCTCTTCACCATCAGACACAGTAAATTCACGTTTGATTCACGTGTGAGGGAAATTGTTGCTGGGCCCTTTGCAATGGCATTCTATCCCTCTCAGCACGCACTGGGCTTTAATGACAGGCAGGAAGGTTCGAATCTCGCCTCCCGAATGATCTAAACTGTGTCGATTTTAGAAATGAGGAGAGTGTAAAACCATCAGCATCTTTTTTTTATTAAATAACCGTTATTGTGTCGATGTGCTTCTCTTTTCTCAAACCAACTCAAA